GCCTATACGAAACAATAAAGCTAATCTTAGATATACAAGCTATATTTTTGGAAATTGTAATTTAAAAGTTTTAATATTACCTTGAGTTCCGCTATTCGAGTCATTTCAAGAGTATGAGACTTGAAAAGGTATTATGACAAGAAGGCGATCAACTACCCGGAGTGGTGTTATTTTACATTTCCTGGCATTGTCCCCGCATTATCTTTGGCAAGTGGATTCTCAAACTGCAATTCCCGTTCGTGACAGCAGTTAGAAATCTGTAAAATAAAATCCATTGAAAACCTTATTGTTTACTAAAAGGCTCTTCTTAGTCTGTTCAAGTTGTTCGACGATTGTTTGGTCGAACACATGAACAGCCCGACCCACAAAATAATGACTGCCTATTCAAATTTCACTAAAACGTCTTTCTGTGATTTATGTGTTCTGGGAAAGAATTTATTTAACGGCGCCAATTTTTCTAATATTCAGGACATCTTTACAAATACCCATCAATCCGTACCATTGTATTACGATATGGGGTTATCGATGCATTTTCTAATAAAATTTATGAGTTCTCCGATCTTATGTATGTTCATTTAATTAAATCTCGTAAAATGTCGAGAAATAACGAGAAATATTACCGAGATCTATTATTCCCTGGTCATAAAACACAGTCAGCTATTTTGTATATTCGTTTCATGGTTAGATATATTCGTTTCGTTTTAAGAAATAATTGGTTGTATTGATGTACGTTGTAAAGTTTGATAGTTATGAGTATAAATAATTGACGAATGTAAACGTTAAGTAGAGTGAGGTGAGAAATCAACAATAGGTTTTATTACAGCTGATTTAGTAATATCGATAGATGACGTAGTATCTAAATAGGATGCCAGAGGTGATTCCAGCACAGCAGTGCAACCATTATTTTCATAACGAAAAGAAATTACCAAATCTCTTTTTGTTGAGACTTTGACCCAAGGAGGCAAGAGAAATGAGGCATATCGTATGATTTCCAAACAGGTTCCTTGGATGATGGTAGTTTGTCGAAACCTTTGGAGAGTAAACTTCCTATTAAAAATGCTACAAATACAAGTGATAAATATGAACAAAAGAAATTTGCCTCGAATCTTCCTTAGAATATTTAGCATAATTCCTTTATTTTCCGTCGTTGGAATTCGGGTTATTATGGTATTAAGTCGCTTACGGACGGATGGTCATAATAGCGAACATATGACGGGATAGCAGTGAGCTACCATTGACCTCAGCGTAATAATTTCAACCTGCTTTTATGTTATGCATGATGAAATGCATACACTTTCATGGATAAGTACTTATGACGCCACAAATGGGTATCAAAAACGAGCATTCATTGTGCATTCTATGAATTAAACAGAAAATGTTTTGTTTTTGATTGACGAAGAATGAAAACAAAAACTAGGATTTTGCATGAAGGTCTGAACTCTGTGTTAGATAAAGTGATACACGAACCACTAGGATGATTTATTGTAGTAGGTATTATTGGATTGCTCTTATGGAAAAATACCAGAGAATTTGTCCCCAGAGTAAGCTAGTATGAACTAACCATAGGAATAATGTATCTGGCGACACGGACAAAATCATAAAATGTCGATCTTGGTGTAGACAGGATTATCAATGAATACATTATTCGTTAATTTTCTTATTTACTTCTGACTATGTTAGCGAGTCTACTGTTGGTCGAGAAATTGATGTAGCATTGGCTCGACTGACAGTAATAAAATGGCAGAATATCGACACTCCGGGACGATAAAACCGTCATTTGCTCAAATAATTTCAACCACGTGAAAACATTCCACAGGAATTATAATATTAAGTTGTTTTAATGGTTTAATTATAATGTTTACATACGGCGAGACCAAGAAGGATCAAAAATTTTCTTTTATTCTGTGGTTTACAAAATTAACTTCCGGTGCACTACGGTACCCACATGCATCTATCGAAGTCCTAAATGACTTTCTATATTCTTTAATTAAGTATGCTAAAAAAAGCGAAAATTTAATTTTTGAAGTTCAAAATAGGCCACGTGAAGTCAGTTTAAATCTGCATAGCTCTTCATAGTAATGAATTGTTTCAACATCAAGACAGTTTTGTTTCTTCATTTTACAACCCCAACATCACAGTTATCTCCCGTTAAACTCCCCAACCTCCGAAAAAAGGTTTTTCTTTGAAATCATCTAGTCATTGATATTGACGTTTTACTTTACTGGCAGGGAACCTTTAGAGTAACCTTTTTTAAACTGGGGTAATATCTTTGTCAAAATGTAATGAAGTAAAAATCGTACTAACTATAACCCGTGTTTGATATAAAAGCTATTCATCATATTATGTGTTTGACTAGACTTTAATCTCCGCTCCAAATATCATTTTATATCTCTTTATTATACAATACAATATAACTAGCATGCCGTCAATTTTACGATAAAAAATTAAACCCTTTTTAAGACCACGGAGCTCTGTAGGTAATTGGCTGCCATAATTCTGTAGATAAGGTATTTGTAAATGACGGTATTGAGCAATTAAGTTAGGGAATGTCTACTGCTTCTCCACAATTGTATAGACTCTTTCGGACTATTTCTATTTTGCTTTGTTAGCTATTTTTAATGAAGTTGTCGAAGTTGATTTAGTTTGAACTTAATGTACCTTAGTTAGTTTTTAACTAATTCAATCGTCAATACTTAAATATTAACTGATTTATTTAACCATTAAGGTGGGGCTGATTTATTAAACTTTTGATTAACCATCTATATTTATCATATAGTGCAGAAATGAGGGTCACCACACCTTACAATTAGCAACTCATTCATCACTCGAGAATTGTCTCGGTGGTTTTTTTACCGATGGAAACTGGTGTGTGTGTGTGGGTGACTTGAAAGAAAGAAATTTAATGATGTTCATCCTCTATCGGTAGCAGGTTACAATCATTCAATCTGTGCCACTGTTAATAATGACGTAATTAAGATCAGGTATCTTCAAGGTACAAAACTCTTTTATAGGAAATTGAATTAATATCCACACAGGTTAAATTTGATATAAGTGAGGAGTATATATTACAAACAAGACAATATTATGGAATAAGAACACTTCTTAAATGAAATATTAAACACCTAACGTTTCAACACAAATTACAACAAAAAATTATCTGATGACGACACAGGCTTTCGCCTCCACTGCCATATGGACGAATCTGAAATGTCAGCCTTAAAGGGTTAACTGAAATTCGGAAAACCTTGTCGACAAAGAGTGAACACTGGCAACACTCGACAGCTTAGTATCCATTAAGTCAGAAATACGACGATTTAATAAAATATTTATTGTATTAAGATGTATATAGGAATAATTGTGTATAAAATTGAAGAAGTGTGTAGAATTAGTCTGTATTGTTATTCTCTAGGGTGAATTATAGACAGAATATATATCATTATTATCTTGTATACATTTATTATGATTTATATCCATCAAGGACGAATGTTTCTTCAGTTAAGGATGTTTCATAGTTTCATATCCTATTGAACTATTAGCACCATCTGGTACCAATTGTTTTTTGACGTCGTATTGACAGTTTTCGGGACATTGGCCTTTATCTAATGAAACAGGCTTTGCCTGCTTAATTGGCCTTCTTCGTCCATCGTCTAACTATATTATGAAGAGGGCCATAGTGGAAGAGTCAGGAGTCAGGACTATTGCCAAGACATTTTTATCATGCTACTTCCTGTTGAAGGGGTGAAAAATGTGTTTCATTTTATAGTCAGTTTATGGAATTTGACATTTGAATTGCTGGGCATAATATATTGGTTATTCAATGAAGATAAAATTGAAGTCTCGCCTTTTCAAATAATGTAAGCTAAAGACTAGTTACAAAAAGTGATATTTTGTTTAATTGTCCATCAACTACACGTCCCCACGTCTATGAATTCTATATTGTTATTCAACCCTTCAACCTCGAGAGAGACATTCTGAAACGATTATTCAATTCCCGAGTTTGCACGTTTTTCATCTAAATAGCTTAGAATAAATACAGAAAATCGTGTCTGGCACCAAAATTCCATAAATATTGTATTTTTATTGGAATTTATCTTCCAGTTGAATAAATTCTAGCTTTATTTAATTCGAAATGGCGTCTAGAAATGTTTTAATTGCCTACAAGATGTATGATGGGCAAATTGGACTAAGTAGAAATTTTAAGAATTTATACAGTAATATGAAGTGTATTTGTTCTTTTTACTGTATAAATTCTTAAAATTTCTACAGTAAAAAGAACAAATACACTTCATCTTAGTCATTTATTTATGTTTTAAAGTTATAGTAATCGAAGAAGCATTAATTAATAAAAAAAATCTATTCAAATCTGAAATATAACTAAAAATGTAATCATATAGTACTGATTAACTGAAAAAAAAGTTGCTTCTGTCTGCTTTCGCACTCTGATTTTGAAAATATACAAATATATTTCGGCATTTTCCTTATTCAAACGATCTCAGTGCAGGTAACTTTAAAACAGCACAAACAAGCATGAAGAATATGGTAAAGTCATTTTAGAAATCTCTATTAATATTTATGATATTTTTCTGTCTATAATGGTTATATTATGTAAAGTAGGAAAGTTTATCCGGACACTGGGATCTTTCGAGTTGTTTATTTATCTCCCTGAGGGTCCTTTAAGAAATCCTAGACTCAATTTCCATTTCTGTCACCTATTTGATAACCATAGACAATTTATTTTAGATGATAAATGAATTCTATATCAATTTACTAGCATGTATATCATATTTTTGAAAAATAAACAATACACCTTTGTCATCCATATTCGTCATCTTTTAAAAGGCGTATAAAACCAAATCACATTACAGATTCGTTCTCTAACATGATAAATCTCGCTTCCTCTTAGAGCAATGACATGTGTTATGAAATATTCTCACACGCTCTTAAGTGTTATGACCATTTTACCTGTTTAATATTCATACACGTGCATTTTATCGTATGACATGCTTACTACGAGATCAATATTACACATTAAATGGGGACAAATGTCAAATCCAAATCAGAGAAACAAACCCCACTCATCTGCAATATTTTATACACAATCTCGGGGTTGGAATAAGAAGTATTGTTTGATTTACTGGAAATACCTTGTCTTGTGGTAATTCTAATGCGTTTTATTTTCTATTTTCAGAGATCAGATGCCACCTACTCTAGATGGTCAACTGACAATGGAAAAAACACCAAGTTATTTTGTAACACGTGATGTACCTCAGCGTATTTATAACATGTCCAAAACTATTAAACTGATTGTGGTTGTAAGGGACCCGGTAACACGTGCAATATCAGACTATACACAAGCGGTCACTAAACGACCGGAAATAAAATCATTTGAAGAAATGGCGTTCATAGACAACACGTCGCGTATTGTAGATACAAAGTGGGCTGGAGTGAAGATAGGAGTGTATGCCAAACATTTAGAAAAGTGGCTCAAATATTTTCCATTAAATCAAATACATTTTGTGAATGGTGAAAAACTGATATCAGATCCCGCAGGAGAAATGGCTAAAGTGCAAGATTTTTTAGGATTAAACCGGTTAGTGACGGACAAACATTTTTATTTAAACGAAACACGAGGTTTCCCGTGTTTAAAGAAACCGGAAGGAAGTGGACGCCCTCATTGTTTGGGTAAAACCAAGGGCAGACAACACCCTCATGTGGACCCTTATGTTCTATCTAGGCTCAGGGACTTCTTTAAACCTTTTAACGCTAAATTCTATCAAATGACTGGACAATCATTCTATTGGGATTAGGAAGACTTGATAATTTCAACACCACCCTCCATTCTTTTGATCTTGCCGCATTTGCTTTTCTACCTCATTTGGGATTGCGGACGAATTTCAAAGTGCTTCGACAAAATGACGTCTTCGCGTGTTTGTATGATATTGTAAAATGACGTATTAATTTATAAACAGTGATATTGTAGATGTGTTTTCCAGTTAATTCTTGTGAACGAGTGTTCCGTGCGAATGGTCAACGTGGATCTTCCGTTTTATGTTAAACGCATGTAGGTTGCGTTGCGTAAGGTTATTTGTTATCAAATAACTTTTCAAAAACGTATTTTGCAGCCACAAGCATACCAACAACTGGAAGCTTTTACAGTTGTGACTGGTATTGGGCTCTTATAATTTCTACCTATAGCGTATGTACTATGGTGAGTGGATCGCTGATTTCCGAAGGCTTATTGTCCTTCACATCTGTAAAATATAATAGCCTTATTTTACAAGGCAACTGATTAAGTGTTTTACTGAACTCATTGTAAATTCTTGTGTATAATGTATATAAAACTTCTTGTAAATTCACGTGCATTTCATAAAGCCGCCATGTTTCAAAGATTCGTATGTGCTAATGAAAGAAGTAATTCAATTTTCACACCTCTTAAAACCTTTTAACTTTACACAGTTTTTAGTTAAGATTCTCGTTATTCTGTAATTATTTTAATTTATTGTGAAAACCACAAACTTTATTTTTACCAATTATCTTTTAAAGTTTTAAATACAGCCTATTAACTATCCCATTTCAAACTGTACCTTTTTAACCCAACAGAACACGCCTTTCTCAGTTGGCATTGGCATTAGTTAATATTCACTGTGAAGACCACAAAAACCTTTATTTATTTATTCGTTTACAATTTGACACTATGAAATTTTGTCTCTGAATAATTGTAATGTAAATGGGCAGTGATGCAACTTTTTGTCGTCGATAAAGCAGCATTGTATTCCATCATATTTCGACCAATATTTAAGTCAATCGTATGTCTACGAACTAATTCGTCTTATAATAAAGATTAGCCTATTGTGATAATTAAATCTGGACCAAACGAATACAACAGACGATAAGATCCAGGTGGCGCATCAATCTGTTATAACAACATGACGGATATTACCCAGACTCAGATAATAATTTGCTTGTCTAGCTAATATATACAAAATTACCTTTCTTGGAAAGCAGTTCGAGTAATTACAAACTGGTGCTAAAACTAGTCCGAAACACTCATCCGGTTGAGTTTCCTGCATTCTCTTTATTTCGATATACCCCTAACACACCTGCACCCAGTAAAACAAAATACTTGGACCAGATCTAACTTGAAGAAATGGCGAATGGAGATTGAGGGTTTAGTTTACTAATTGTGAGAAAGTTTAGAAAGTAAATAATGTAGCTATCATATAAACTACGGGAGACCAATGATATCAACAAGATGATATTAACAAGATGATATTAACCTTCGTGTTATTTCTCTAAACAATCTAACACTGTAACAACTTATACATACCTTCACATATCAAGAGTTGTATAATATGTCTTTGAATCTTGAAATATAGTTTATAGTGCAAAAACTCCCGAAATCGAGGATTTGTAAATTGTACGTTTAAAGACTTCCTCATTGGCAACCAATGTAAATATATTTAACACTACAGCTAAATCATATAATATCTTCTGTTTCATGTATTAAAAAGTACCAGAAAAGTTTTACGGACCATTCCGTTTTTGTAGTCCGACTTCTACGACTCACGACAAAATCTGTTATTTTTGTAAATTGTTGCTTGTATGATATTGTAATGAGGTGATTGTGTATTTATTATTTGTTGAATTTCTCTCACATTATCGTCGAATTCACATCAAGTGCTAATATTTGTTTATCGTTAAATTTCGGTAATTTCTGTGTGTTATCGGAAAAGGGCGTGAACTGCCGATCGATGTAGTGTAGATTGCTATGGGTACTTTGGAAATCTAGAAACTGTTTTAATCTTTCTTTCTGTATTGATCTTACAACATTCGTATCGGTTTGGAATTTATTTGCAAGTTTCAGTTGAAAGGGGTGATAATTGTTTATAAAAGTGGTGGTAGATCTCTTACGACACTATTCAGTTTCTTGATTTTCAAATACAAACCATAATTATGTTTATCAATTAAAATGGAAAAAATAAATTTATGATATAAATATATTTTATAAAGACTGAAATAAAAGATACCAAAATCTTATATTCTTAATATTTATAAATATTGGAAACCGGACAGTACTTTGAGGGCGACAAATTTTGCAGAGCTTCTTACTGAAATAGTTGGATTTCAAGGGTCCTAATCTGTTGCAAAGCATTGCATGTAATCCCATTTGAGCCCATTCTTTGTTTTCAACAGTTCTACATCGCCAAAGATTGTGAGAACCACTGAACACATGCAATATCCTATAGCGATGAACAACCTTATCGTTCATGTTCTCCCAATCTGCCATTTTAGAATACAAGCAAGGGATGTTCGTGAAGGGACCATTTATAAAAGTCTGAATAATTATCATCATTAACGGCAATCAAACTTCTTATTATCGTTTGGAATTGTTGATCTGCAAGGTATGAACCATCAAGAAACATTGATATTCAAATAACAACTTTTAATGACACGCCCACAAAACTAAGAATCACCCAAATGCATGGAAGTTTGCGATCTCTTATCTCATTTGTTCTGAAAGTACTAAGATATGATGTCATGCAACTATGAGTGCAATTTTACGTCCTGTTTGCTTGTTTCTGATCGAGCAAATGGAGACGTGTAACGCGATACAACTTCAAATGGTCTAAACTTGATGCTCACCAGGAAAAGGCACCTTTTCTGTATTCTTTTATTAGTACTTTTTACTTGGCATTATTGACAGAAGGAAAACTCGATCACAAAGACCTTAACAGCTGAGCTGCTGCACCCGACAAATATGCCCCTACCCCTTTCCGTTACGTTTGGATATCGGCAAGTTTTAAAACTGAAACACAACGCAGCTGTACAGACGGGGGTATATGAAGCACTAATAGGTTGATGCCTAGAGCTAATTCACTCCATTATTGTATATATTTTACCATTTTGTCTTGACTAAAAATAACTCTTGCTTGTGTTCTGGAGAAAAATCTGATCATCTCTAATAGGTTTGATTCAATTCAGCAAGATTTGGGGTTCTGAGTAACGTTTGATGTCTCCGCAATATGTTTATTACTTGTCTTGTTCGTTTCTTCTTACATGTAATGTAAAAACAGTATTCAAGCACCTCTTGCCTATTTAATGTACGGTTATAAATTGTCTGTTTTATGTCTCTTTTCAAGTATGACTGAATCTATCCCATACATTGACTATAACAGATGACAACGGCTATCCACCCAGTTTTCAGTATAAACATTTATAGACAGCAGTCAAATCCATAATCTTATTTCGATACATTTCTGTTGTTCTTGCTTGTACGTACAATAAGAATTGATAAACAGCAGCTGAACAATTCCCCCCAAACATTACCCTTGATTACATTTGGGTGAGTATTAGACTAGTATGTATCTTCTATTATAAAGCTGTATGTCAGGTGAAAAAAATAAGAAAATGACATCAATTTGATATCTGACACTAATTGAAAAGAAAATATTTTCTAGCTTTTATCAGAGAAATATTATCATTGTCTTTAGGCAGCTAGACAGTTCCATAGTTACACACAAAAAAATCTTATTCTCCTCCACACCCACTTTCAAGACTTAAGCTGGATTGGGAATGGATTTTTTGCCACCCCCCCCCCCCCCTAAATTTCAAATTTTTTACAATTGTACATAGTGAAATGAATGCCTGTGTACCCGCTTTAAAATTCCGTGTCCCCTACTCGGCCTCGTAGCCTGATGACCAGCCATTCACAGATCTCAAAATCTTTAAGATCACGAATCACTAAAGAGCTGTGAAGTAAGAGAAACTATATCGATGGATATCGAGAAAGCTTTTTTAGTGGTGCATGGTTCTCATTCATCATTTCAGTGGATCATTTGTCGCAAAGTTCTCTCCTTATCGAGGAAGAAACTTACATACAAAAGCAAATTTCAAGGTTATCAAAGGTCGGATTGGAACTAAAATATATTGCTTTCAAGGAAGTAATTTAAATTTCTAATTTGCATTTGACGTAATGTTGAACTTGTGCCGAGACGTACAGGAAATTCATTCAAACTTTGATCTAAATAGGTCAAACATTAACATATTTTGGCTGTTAGAATTCTCTAAGGTACTGTAAGTCGGTGTAATAAATTAAACATGTGGTAATAATCGGAAAAACATTAATTTCAATTTAATTTTTAAAAAATCCATTTCATTAGATGAATGTAAAGCAGTTATATTGTATCTAATGCCGGTAAAGAATGTACGACAGTGTACAACTCGTGGTTTTATCGTGTACATAAGTCGCACATTGTTTCTATATCAATCCCAAAACAAGTTAATGATCCAAAAGTCATAAATCAAGATAAAAGTGAGATTTAAAAGTTAATCTCTTTACGAAACAAAATATTTTCCTCTGGGATTCCACACCATTATTCTTTACAGAGAACAGAACCTTTAGAAAATGTTAACTTATTCTTTCACCCAATCTCGCACCGGAAAAATTCAAATATCACAGAGAATTGTCTTTTATGTTCAAAAAGAACAAAAGGAATGCCAAAGTTGAAACAATAGAACTTGGCCACCGTTTCGACGCCATTTAAAATAGTTTTAATCCGGTTTAAGAGACGTAGGTCTATGTTACTGGTTTACAACAATTGTAAAAGTTGAGCTAATACACCAAGTTACCAAAGGGCCCATTGCTTCTAAATAAAAAAAAGAGACAAAACTGCAAACAGTCTTCTGTAATAAACGGTCATATACATAGCTATGTGATAACATATCGTTGGTAATATATACCTTAAACAAAAAGTTAAGCGCCACCAGATTTTGAACCACAGTTTCGAAAATGAATGCAATTCACAAT